ACTTTGTATATTATGCCAATGAGCCACGTGTGGCTCCAAAACATCTACTAGTGCCATGTGCCCCCAAACAACCTGCCAGTACCATCTCTCTGCTCCCAGCCTCTGTGTGCCATCTCTCTGCCCTTAGCCTCACTCTGTCATCTCCCTGCCCCCAACCTCACTGTGCCATTTCCCCGTCCCCAGCCACTATGTGCCATCTCTCTGCCCTTTGCACCATCTCACTGCCCTTAGCCTCCCTGTGCCATTTTTCTTCTACCATCATCTCTGTGCCACCTCTCTACCACCAGCATCTCTGCGCCATTGCTCTGCTCCTGCCAATCTGTGCAATCTCTCTGCCATTTGCCTCTTTGTGCCATCTCTCTGCCCTTAGCCTCCCTGTGCAATTTTTCTGCCACCAGCATCTCTGCGCCACCTCTCTGCCACCAGCATCTCTGTGCCACATGGGTGGCAGTGTAATGCTATTAATGCAACAAATGCATAAACCTTGTATATCATGCCAATGAGCAGCAATACATAAACTTGGTATATCATGCCAATGAGCAGTAAATGTATACATCCTGAATATCATGCCAAAGAGCAGTTAATTCTTAAACTTTGTATATTATGCCAATGAGCCACATGTGGCTCCAAAATGTCTGCTAGTGTCATGTGCCCCCAAACAACCTTCCAGTGCATTCTCTTTGCTCCAAGCCACTCTGTGCCATCTCTCTGCCCTTTGGGCCATCTCTCTGCCCTTTAGGCCATCAGTGTGGGGATGGTGACAATATGAAAGGTGGGGTGATGGTGACAGTGTGGGAGGTGGTGACAGTGGGAGTGATGGTAGCATGAGGGGATGGTGACAGTGGGGAGGTGGTAGTGTCTGTGTGAATGGTGGCAGTGTGAAGGGATGGTTACAGAGTGGGAAGTTATAATGTGAGGGGATGGTGACAGTGTGTGTGGGAGGGTGACAGGGAGTAAATGGTGGCAGTGTGTAGGGTGATAGTGTGGGAGGAGGCCAGTGTGTGAGTGACAGTGTGGGTGGTGGTGACAGTGTGTTTCGTAGGGTTACAGTAGGGGGATGGTGACAGTGTGGGGATGGCGACGATGTGGGGTGGTGACAGTGTGGGAGGTGGTGACAGTGTGTTTGGGAGGGAGGGTGACAGTGTGGGAAGTGGTGACAGTGGGAGGGGGAAGGTGACAATGTTGGAGGTGGTGACAGTGTAGGAAGTGGTGACAGTGGGGGAATGGTGACAGTGACATTGTGGGAGGTGGTGACAGTGTAGGAAGTGGTGACAGTGGGGGATGTGGTGACAGTGGGGGGGAAGGTGACAGTTGTGGTGGTGGTGACAGTATGGGTGGTGGTGACAGTGTGGGTGGTGGTGACAGTGGGGGGATGGTGACAGTGTGGGAAGTGGTGACAAATTTGTTTATTGCATTTTTCACACACAAACAAATATTAACGCTAACTTTGGCCAGTGTTTGTGACTAAGTGGCTACTAAAAAAGACTGGACATACCCCATTTGCAATACCTTGGGTTGTCTATTGATTTGATTGCAAATGGTATGGCATCAAGGTAATTCTCATTCCTGGGCTACCATACGGTCTCAAAGGCAACCAAAGGTAACCAATCTGGCGAATTTCAATGTGAAAAAACGGAAAAATCTAACATGTTATATTTGACCCTGTAACTTTCCAAAACACAACAAAACCTGTACATAGTGGGTACTGTTTTACACGTGAGACATCGCTGAATACAAATATGTGTATATATTGCAGTAAAAGCTAACAGTATGATGACATTCACAGTTAAAATGTCATGTAGAACTAAAAAAATTAACATTTCTTAATTTCTAAAAAAAAAAATTTATATTGTATTCATATTAAATTATGTTTCATAGCTAAATATTTGATGTTAAATGAAAGCCCTATTTTTCCTGAATAAAACAATACATAATAAGTGTGGGTGCACTTAATATGAAAGAGGTGAATTACGGTTGAACAGACATATAGTCAAATTCCAAGTTTTGTTTACTTTTTATTTTGATCAAACCGTGTACATTTGGCTCAGCCCTTAAGGGGTTAAATTAGAATTTTACTTTGAATTCTCACTTCAGTAAATAACCCAATTAATTGCCTTTTTTGTAACTACTGCACTCCGGAATGTCTTGCACTACGTTCATGGATGTACTGGAGAACCACAGCTATTGTCATATTCGCATTACACATCTAATAGCTGTTAGTTCTCTATTTCTCACCTGGATACTCACAGTCTTTACAAATTGTAGCTATAGCCAAATGACATCAATGTTGTTTGTCTGCAAGGTGTGCCAGTGGCCCACACAAATTAAGGGGACATTCAAGTGTTAATGTGCAATCCATTTAATATTATTTGAAACACTTTGTTTAAGGTACAGTCAGTGGTACAATATGATGCCATGGTATTATCTGAATCAAAGTGCAATAATAAACTCCTTACCTCAAACCTGTGCTTTAATTTTGACAATATTGAAACAATCCATTTACACTGCAATGTATTGTAGTGATAATGCACAATGAAAGATACTCACCTACGTGTCCATGTAAAGTAAATACCTGGGCTGGTATCCTGTAGTAATGGCATCCTTGCTCAGCAAATCATGGTCCCAACACAGTTCTATATGTGGCAGTTGTACATTTCCCATAAACCTCTACTTCATATAGAGAGGAACATTTCATTATTTGCTTATTTTTAATTGATCAGACTCTGTGGACCTCTCTATTTATCCATATATGTGTTTTACATGTAAAATAACCCAAGTGGCGAATCTCCCATTAGGCTTGCAGCCAGCTACTAACCAAACCTTCCTATGATGGAGTATCCTAAAGGAAGAACGAGAGGAGGCAGAGCTGTCAGGAGATTGGGGACGAACGTTCGGGCAAAACTGTTGAAAACTGAAGGTAAGATGGCAGATGAAGTTGTTATGGGGGTGGGGTTGTTCCTTTAGCCTGTGCAAAGTTGCACAATTACATTATTACTGATTACAAGTGATATTCAGCTGTGCTCAAACGTTTGCACACCCTGGCAAAAATTGTGAAATTTCGGCATTGATTTAAAAAATATGACTGATC